GCTGGAAATGAAGTGTCCCCAACTAAGCAAGCCAGAGGCGACAGCGGCAAGGAACCAAAACTCCATCGGTGACAGAATGGAGAAAAAACCTTGGGAGAAACCAGGCTCACTTGGGGGGACAGTTCTCCTCTGGCCAGACGAAACCAGCAGTTCAATTCCAGGTTGCAGCAAAGTCACATTGTGCAGAGGACTCAACTGGTTCCTGTGGTCTTGTCCCGGTGGCCGTCTAGGAGACAAAGTCTTCACTGGGGATCTGTCTCTGGGGCTCATCTAGTTGTCCTGATCTCTGCTGACACTCAGGGCTGTAGAGGTCATCTCTAGGTGCTGATCCACCTTCTGGGCTGGATACAGACTGGATCTGGTGGCTACGGTGACCTCGGAATAAGAGAGAAACAGACTAATATTAGCGTAGATGCCATTCTTCTAACGATGTAGCAAGTACATCGGGTGTTACGAGAAGTGTTCCCGGTTCCGGTTGACCTAATTAAATCAAATGATTAAATTATATAAATGGCTAATGACTAACGATTATAAATGAATAAAAACAAGAAAATAAAAACAACATGTATTATTTCTCTCTTGATGCAACACACACAGTTTGCATTTGAGGATCCTTTGATCCTTCAGATTGTTGATGAATAGTCTAAGTTGGAGTCTTGTGGTCATTTTGGGACCTCTCTAGACCACATTACTGTAGAAGTTTTAATAGTATTTCCTGCTTTTAGAGACAACAGTTTCTAGCACTTATAATTCTACCAGAAACACTCGAAACACAAGCTGATTATGTAAATGTCAAAAACTTTATATGGATGAGTGTAGAGAGGCGAGAGCCTACAGCAAAAAGTGTGTTATGTGTAAGCCAGGTTAAAGAGATGGGTCTTTAATCTAGATTTAAACTGACAGAGTGTGTCTGCCTCCCGGACAATGTTAGGTAGGTTATTCCAGAGTTTGGGCACTAAATAGGAAAAGGATCTGCCACCCGCAGTTGATTTTGGTATTCTAGATATTATCAAATGGACAGAGTTTTGAGAACGCAGAGGACGTGAAGGACTATAATGCAATAAGAGCTTGTTCAAATACTGCACTGTGTTTCCTGATGATATCTCCCAAGGGTAACGTGTAAAGCGTGAAAAGTAACGGCCCTAGTACTGAGCCTTGAGGTACTCCATACTGCACTTGTGATCGATATGATACCTCTTCATTCACTGCTACGAATGAAGTACGTGATATAAGTGATATAAGTACGATTTGAACCATGCTAATGCACTTCCACTAATGCCAACAAAGTTTTCTAGTCTATTCAAAAGAATGTTGTGGTCAATAGTGTCGAACGCAGCGCTAAGATCCAGTAGCACTAATAGAGATACAACCACGATCAGATGATAAGAGCAGGTCATTTGTAACTCTAACGAGAGCAGTCTGACACCCCTTAGACATCCAGCCATTGAGTGATGACTATGTATCTCATCACCAGGTAAGCAGGGAGTGGACCAGAGCATATTACAGTGTCTGACATCATACTTGCAAATTCACACACTTCTTTAATGTTATTTTTAGTGATCTCCGACTGGCGAAGTCGAACATCATTAGTGCCGGCGTGAATAACAATCTTACTGAATTTACGTTTAGCATAAGCCAGCACTTTTAAATTTGCCAAGATGTCAGGCGCTCTGGCTCCCGGTAAACATTGGACTATGGTGGCTGGTGTCTCTATTTTCAAGTTCCGTACAATGGAATGGCCCCCCCCCCCCCCACACACACATTTTTACAGTTCAGTTCCTCCGTCTTTTTCAGACAGGCACTTTATGACTTCACTGAATGATTTCTTATTTTCAAGTTGAACTAGTTGTTAAATTAATAATTTAATTCCCTTGATTTTTTTTCCCCCATTTTATTTATTTTAAGGCGAGACACTGCAGGGTGAATATGGTAAAAAAACAAAACAAAACAAAAAACTAATAGATATCCCAAGCTGATTTATTACATTAAGAATTGGAAACCTTTTTTGTATTACAATATTTCTGAAATGTAATGTTTATATTTGCATTTGAGGCGCTATCTAATTATATATGCACTAATTAGCATAAAATTCTAGAACAAAACTATGAACATTGGATGAAGACACGTTCAAAATTCTTTCTTTTTTGACATTAGATTCTATCGTGCAGCCCTAATATATATATATATATATATATATATAAAAAAAACAAAATCTCAAAAATATAATAGCATTTGTTCCATAGTTGGTGTCAGTGGAAACAGTTCACACAGTCCTGATCTAAGACTCATTTACACACTTGGCAAATTGAAATTTGTTGGCGAAACATACATCTGCATTTAGTTTATTGGTCCCACTTTATATTAAGTGTCCCTAATACCTGTGTACTTACAAAGTAACTAGATGTGAATGTAA